ATATTACCAACTTTTTTCTGCATCTCCCATAATTTCAAGGGCCCCAATTTATTCCAGAATGCCGGAGGTAATGGGCAATTTCCAGGGCCTTATTACTGGGATTTACTCTACCTGGATTATGCAATCGGGTTTGAACCAATTTCTTAATGTCTCTCACTCTGATCCAGAACACACATACTAGGCTGAACCCATATGAAATTGCAGGCATTTGACTATTTCTAACCTACAAGAACAGTAATTGTTTATGTTCAACCATAGTTTAATGCATTTTCTTTCTTTTTTGTCTTCTTACATAATCTCTATGCCCAACGTGAGGCTCGAACTCATGACCCTGAGATCCACAGATGGAGCCAGCAAGGCGCCCCAATACATTTTAATATTTTCTATTCCTTCTACTGTTAAAATGCTGCTCTTGTGGCTTTTGAACTTCACTAAGTAACCGAATTAATAAATGACTCACTGACAAGTATTTCTAACAAGTTTTCAACCCCAGGATTGCAGGGTGCCCCATGTCACTTCTGTGTGACTTAACCATACATACTTACACATACATTCTGTATCCATCACTCCTAAGCCAAATTTAGTACGCATCTGTCCATTCTTTTCTTAGCTGTATCCTCACACAAAGAAAGGCAAATCAATGGCACAGAGAGACAACTGAAGGCATTTATTTTCTCTTGAAACTCATTTGCCATATAACAAACAAACCACCTGAGATAAGGAAAATGGTGGTCATGTTTTGCCTTCTCTTTGTCGAAGGTAAACAAAATGGCACATACTCCCTACTAGGTCTGACATGCCACTCTCACACCCTTTTTAATCACTGGATTGTGGAGGGAGAGCATGATTCCTATCTCTCCATTCTTTTCCCCTTCTCTCAGACTGAGCTGAATAAAATGATGTGGATTAAGTTTGTTTGTTTTCCCCAATCCCATGCTATTTCTATATTTAATAAACAAGCAAAAACTCCCCTAACCCACCTGTCCTGCTCTCCTAGAGATGAATTTGGCCTCCTTTGCAAAAATAATTGCTAAAATTACAAACATCAAATAATTTTAAACAGCATGCCCTGAAAAATGTGAGAAAATTCTTCCCTTAATATTCCAAGTTCTGCAACTTGTGGCAAAGTTAGCCACATAATATGCCTTAAAAATACGAATTGCAAGAAAGCAAACACTACATGACAATTCTGAGACTTTAAATGGTTTCATAAAGGCCCCAGGGGTATTGGAAATCCTAAAATGATCTCATACATAGTCACATGTCACTGCTTACAGGGAAATAACACTCCACATTCCAAATAGATTAAATTCCTAACCTGTTTATATGCTCTAATTATGTTCCACTCTGAGGAACTTTCTTTAGCTAACCACTTTACAGACTAAAGTCTCACTATAAAGCACATGTGTGTCCTACTACATGGAGGATCACCCCTCAAATCACACCTACATAATCAGAATGTTGAAGCATGTTGTGGATGGGTCTTCTAGTTTTTAGAATATTGGAGAATCACTAAAATCCTGAGGACTGTTTTTCCTTAAAGACTCATTAGGGCACAATTTAGCATTAAGCATTTTTTAAAAAGCCTAACGAGACAAAGATTGAATTGTTTTAGAAATGAATAGAAAATTCTTGACCTTTTTCATATATGTTAAGTACAAGGCATCGTCACAGATTATGGAATTCTGTTGAAGCCTCAGCATCCTATGGCAGAGCCTTTACTGCATGCTGAAAATAATAACTTTTATTTAAGGAGTTCAGTACGTGGGAGGCATTGTGCTAGGTGGCTGAAACATTTATTTCATGTAATCTTCACCATCCATAAGGTGCTTATTAACTCTTAAGAGTTGTGATGATGCATCCCAGAATTGCTTCTCAATTCCATTGCTTTGAAAATACATTTCTAGGGCGCCTGGGTGGCTCAGTTGGTTAAGCGACTGCCTTCGGCTCAGGTCATGATCCAGGAGTCCTGGGATCGAGTCCCACATCGGGCTCCCGGCTCAGCGGGGAGCCTGCTTCTCCCTCTGACCCTCTCCCCTCTCATGCTGTTTCTCTCTCTCTCTAATAAATAAATAAAATCTTTAAAAAAAAAAAATACATTTCTAGGGGTAGGACTCAGGCATTGGTATGTTTTTAAAAGCTCACCAGGGGATTCTAATGCAAAACCACAATCCAGAATCACTGTTAGTCATATTTAAAGGCAGCAGTATCTTAAGTCAAAAATAACCCTCAGCAGCACAGCTGGCCCTCTCCGATACACCGTAACTCCCACAAGGACGTTGGGAAGACTCTCCAGCAGGCTTCCCTCATATCCAGGGATTCCACCTTCTATTGACCTCCTGCTGGCACAGTCTCCTACAGAACTACACACTATGACCAGAGTCTCCCATTTCTCCTCAAACTATGCTACTCCTCACCATCTTCCATTCCACATCATCCCCTTTCGGGAGAATATAAACTGGGTGTTATAGCGCAACTAATGAATCACTGAACACTACATCAAAAACTAATGATGTACTATATGTTGGCTAATCGAATTTAAATAAATACAAAATAAAAAAATAAACTGATCAGGTTAAAATAATTTCCACAAAAACATGAACAAGCAAAAAAATGAACCAAACGACTTGACACTCCCATTTCTGAAAAGCTGCTAATACCTTTTGTTTTGGCCTCAAGCAGTGTGCATGAATAGGAGGGGTGCTTTGGAGTAAAAATTCTCTCATTTCCTTGTACAAAACAATGTTCACTTAGATACTATTTGCTGCTTTCAGGATATAAATATGTGGGGTATTAATGTGAGAGCAGCCAGAAAGAGTTTAGCTAAATTGTTCCAATTACTCAAAATGGCAGTATAACTCCCATCATTTGAACCTCCCCTCCAAAGGCAAAAAAATTAAAATGCAAAGATTACTTTCGGTATTTTCAACAATTCACTTATTTTCAAAGTGTTCTTTAAGAGTGCGCCTTAAGGCACCTGGGTGGCTCAGTCGTTAAGCGTCTGCCTTCTCAGGTCGTGATCCCAGGGTTCTGGGATCGAGCCCCACATCGGGCTCCTTGCTCCTCAGGAAGCCTGCTTTTCTCCCTCTCCCACTCTCCCTGCTTGTGTTCCCTCTCTCACTGTGTCTCTGTCAAATAAATAAAATCATTAAAAAAAAAAAAAAGTGCGCCTTAGGGGCGCCTGGGTGACTCAGTTGGTTAAGCCTCTGCCTCCGGCTCAGGTCATTAAGCCTTTGCCTTTGACTCAGGTGATGATCCCAGGGTCCTGGGATGGAGCCCCCGCATCGGGCTTACTGCTCAGCAGGAACCCTGCTTCTCCCTCTCCTGCTCCCGCTCCCCCTGCTTGTGCTGTCAAATAAATAAAATCTTTAAAAAAATTTTTAAATAAATTGTAAATAAAGTGCTCCTTAGGGATGCCTGGCTGGCTCAGTTGGGAGGGGGCAATTCTTGATCTTGGGGTCATGAGTTCAAGCCCCACGTTGGGTATAGAGATAACTTAAAAAAAAACTCCATAAATTTTTGCATAGAAAAGGTCTTTATGATAGCAACATATGTGAAATAGGGGGAGAACAATGAAGAACAGTTTAACAGTGGTAGTTATACACTGACCCAACTATCAATAAGCTACAACACACCGTATTACCAAACAGTGCCCTTTCCAAGCTTTTCCCTCTGGCTTTTAAAATTCCATCCGGTTTTTCTACTATCAAGTTTATATTCCCCCCAACATGGCAAAAGCTCAGACATTAGTAATTCCTAATTAAACAAGAACCCAATTCAAGATCCTTTACATAATAAAGTTCTCTGGCTTGAATTTCAATCCTAATTTTTAGGGCACCACCAAATTCCACCATTCAACAGTACCTACTGCAACAACTCGAGATACACACTTACCTAAGATTTTTGGGGGCAGGCTTCCCACAGTTTCACAATATAAATTGTAAACGGAGATTGGTAACATACAGGAATAAAAGTTGGTTCAATATTAACTCATATATACAGACTGAAAAAACTATGAAACAGGCGTGCCTGGTTGGCTGTCAGAAGAGCATGCGACTCTTGATCTTAGGTCATGAGTTCAAGCCCCACATTGGGTGCAGAGATTAAATAAAACTTAAAAAACCTACAGAAAACCTGCTGTCTGGGGAAGCTCGTTCACCATAAAAATGGGGGATGTAAAGAAAAAGACCATATTGCAACAGAACAAACTAAGTGAATGACAAGGCATGATAGTACATGGGGACTTGATTCCAAAAGGCCACATTGGTGAATAAGAAGGGTGGAAATTCAGTTTCTTGAGAACCAATATGGAAGAACTGAATTAACAGGGATCAGACCTATTCTCTAGTCCTAGTTTCATAATCCTCCAGCTGTGTGACAAGTAACAACCCTCAGGAACTCAGCTTCCTCATCTCTAAAACGGGTTAGAATTAGGTAATCTAAATCTTTCCAGCTAAAATAATTTGTTTACTAGTTCTAGAGCTGTTACCCTTCCCCATATATTTGAACTTAAAAACTATGGTGCCCTGCATATTTAAGGCTGTTAAGAGTGGATATATGTGGATAAATATTTTCTGTCTTTCAACATCCTCAAGGAACAAAGACTCTATTTTGGGTTAGGGAATATTTATTCATCAAAGGAGGCTAGAATGGTTGAGTGATTTATCAGCAGACTTAGCAAACTCGACTTTCTCTTAGCTGTGTGAACTGACTCATTCTGCCAGGTAGTGGTTACAGAGAATACTTGGGAGTAAATCCACAACATTATAACCCAATTTTTTTTGCTAGTAAAGCTGCATATTTGAAACAACCTAAGCTTTTTAAACAAAGGGGCTGAAACATCAGTTGCTAGTCATTTATAAACTTTGTTATTCTTTGTTTTGTATCAGTCTGTCAGGAATGCACTGTAGCTTTATTTCTTCCTTGAAATGTTACTTCTAGCAGCCTACTCCATGGTTTTTTCTAAGCTTCTCAATATTCTTCAGAATAAAGAAAACAGCTCATTTTAAACAAGAAGTTTATTTAAACAACAAGACGCTTGACTTGAAGGGAAAACTATCTAGGATTCATTTCTTTTAGAGTAATTTATCCCTACTTAAAGACAGATTGCCCTACATGTAACAGCTACGTACAAAAAAGTTATAAAATTGTCCTTGGTTTTACAATGATAAATGAAAAACATTAAAATTCTCCAATCGAACAAGGTATGCAAGGATTTTTATGTTGTTCTTTTTTTGTTAAACAGTGAGAGCAAAATAACTTACTGGAATATAAAGATAAGAGCTGACTGAGCATGCCACTAATGGAGAGAGGGGGTATTTTCACAGAAGCAGTATTTTCCCCCATCCCATCTCCATTTGATGTCGATCAAAACATACCATTGGCCATTTAGTTTAAAAAAAAAAAAATGCAATATGCTTGTGCACATACACAGTTACTTTATGTACAATAAAGGAATGGGGAAGGGGAAAATGAAAGAATAGAGAAAACTATACTGTAGTAGTCAGGATGTGGTGGAACCAAATTGCGGCTTTCTAATTGAGAATGTCTTCTTGGTCTGGTTCTGGAGTAAAGTAGCAGGTTCCCTTTTTAGTAGACACCTCCTGTCTGCTGCTGGAACACATCAATTGTATCTTCATCCTCCATTTCCAACTGGCGTACGAGAGAAGAAAAACAAATGGAAGGCCACTGATTATCAGCTCTTAAGATTTGTAACTCTCAAGTACCACAAAAACTGCCTAAGTTCCACCCAATTTCAGTGTTCATTATTGTGGACATCCCATAGATTAATGTAGCATCAGTCAAATTAATTTTTCACTTGGTCTTCCTTATATGAAGATTATAGAAAACTTAGTTTTTAAGTGAAAAAGCTGGGGAGCACCTGGGTGGCTCAGTTGGTTAAGCATCTGCCTTCGGCTTCGGTCATGATCCCAGGGTCCTGGGATCAAGGTCCACATCTGGCTCTCTGCTCA